CACCACATTGTGGTTCACAATGTAACAAAAATAAAATAAAATAAAATAATAAAATATAATACAATACAATACAATTAAAAAAAAACACAGATCCAAACAAAAATAAACAAGGGATTAAAAGATTATAGTGAATACTCTGAATTGCAGCAATTGGGAACCAGGGCTGGACTTGAAGAACACACCTAGTTTTGCAGCCAATGGTTGGACACATCAAAGAAGAATCTTATTTAGGTCTTTTTATCAAGAGAGTCAGGAAACTGAATTTTTAAGTGAAACTTTCCTTGAGGGAGAAAAGGAGATACTATGCAAGTGCCTGGGGAGTAAAGCATATTGTCTTATCCTCCTTGTAGAACTGAACTATCTTTTTGTGGTTCCTCATATGTCCAGATTGTTGGCAGATCCACGTTTTAACAACAAAAACAACTTTGAAACATGAAAAATTGCTGTCATTCAGATCTTTAAATGGAATCACCACAGATTTAGTGGGGATCTTCTTTATGCAAAACATTTCCTTTGCTGCTGAGTTATACATTCAATCTAAAGTGAACAAATAATTGCTAACTTACCGAGATATCATTTCTTGAAACTTAAGGAGTCTGAAAAGTTTACAGTATGAGTTCAAGATGTATTAGTTCAATCAGCTGAAAAAATTGGCTGTGAACATATAGTGAACATATACAAAATGCAATATCCTGTTTGCTATTTCTCACAGTTGAGTTTATTTTTAAGCATACAATATAACTGTAAACTGGCGGTGGGGCATAATCAAATAATAGATACTTATGCCCCCGGATCTCATGTGCTCTTCAGAGCCAGTTTCAGATCATATTAACGCAGTATTTTGCTTGGCAAAGTTGAATCTTGCTTAGTTTGATTTGAGGAATTTGTATTTCTTTTTTCTATTGTATAATAACTTTTCGGAAAAAACCTTGATGCAGTTGGGTGATATACTGAATTCTCTTTGCAAAGTTTGTCTCCCTAAAATATCCAAATATTTGACAATAATTTTGTGATGTTTCCTTCTCCTTTCCTAATTATCTTCCTATTTGGCTTTCAGAATCCTATTTGGCTATCACTGTAGCTGCTGTTGCCACTGCTCTTTTGCTGGTCAGTGTGCTAGTGGTCTTCCTCATCTTCATCATTAGACTTTGGATCCGTAAATACAGTGGAAAGGGCAACTGAATGAATCAAACAAATATAATTTAAGAAGAGAGACCAGGGTAGAAGTTCTGTTTTATGAACATCTCATTTGCAAGGAACGTATCATGACACAGAGGTGAATCACTTTGTATGTGGAAAAAGTATTAAGGCTTTAACAAAAGCTCACGATATCATATCCAGACCTGATTTTGAGCTTGTGGAAATTGGAATCAGAAAAACGTCTTCCACTCCCTGGCATTCTTCTTTCTGCTTAAAATGTCCCATTCAGAAGTACCAAAGCTGCAATGACGGGCTGGTGTCATAAACCTTTGTGAGATGGGTTCCCATCAATTCATAGCTTGAAGGATAGTTCACATTTGAGGACTTTTTGATCATTATAAAATGAGCAATGATTATGCATATTTTTTTACAAGAACTATGTTTCCTAGTAGATGTACATGTTAAAGGAATGTCAATAATCATGGATGATATATTCAATCTTTTAATAAATTGACAGGGCAATATTATATTCATGTAAATTCCCTCCCACTTCCCATAACGTATATAATATTACAGAATGTAGTGAATAATGCATTTATTAGCAATGCAATAACTTTGTAACTATAACACTTTGACAGGAGGTAGTGAGATATGAGTACAAATGTATACAAAATTGGGGACATTTGCTAGAAAAAAACATGCAGGAAAGGGCAGCATCAGAACATAAATTAGCACACTGAAATCAAAGGACATTTTGTATACAACAATGCTAAAAGTCTATATTTCAAGGTCCTTCAGAGTGCTTTTCAGTAACTAGCTACAGACATTTAAGGGAACAGGACAATTGCCTATACCTGAATGACTGAAAGCAGGTCTTAAGGAAGCATAGGAACATACAGCAATAATTCAGTGGATCAGGGAAGAATAATTTTATGACAGTCAATAGACCAGGGGTAAGAAGACAAAAATTATAGCTGCAAGAACAACAACATAGTACATAATGCAACACAACACCACAGTAATACCCAAAGACTACCTTATACCCAAAATAACTGTATAGTAGTCTTTCCATCGACATGTTGCTTTCTCATTCTAACAGCCACTTAAAGAAACTTAGCCCTTAGAAGAATTTTATCTTCCAACAAATGTTTAGTATAACATCAAGTGATTTGCTTGGCAAGGCAATCAATATAGGAGCGATCAACTGCTATTGGACTCCAGAGCAAACAGAGGAAAGTGCTCGACTCGGCTTCTTGTCCTTTGCATGGATAACCCCTGAAAGGCTGAGGAATTCCTGCGTGACTTTTCTGCAGAACCTGGGAGGGAAGGATGTTCCATCAGGACTGAGGATAAAGGCTGTTCAGTAGAGGATAACATGAAGATAAGCAACTGACTAAAAAGCATCTTCAAATAAAATGTTAAAATTGCTGGGTGAACAAGATGAGTGACCGTAAACAGAGATATCCTGAAGGGAAATGAAGAAAGAAAAAAATGCTTTATTAAGTGCAAGTGCAGAATTATACCCACCTGATAAAGTGTGATAGCCCAATAGGATGAGCTCTTTAGGCTACCAGAGTCACCTAGGATTAATGGTGGCCACCTGGAGCAAGCTACGCTAAAGATACAGACACTCAGCCAGAGCACCAGGGCAAACAGCCGTGCTCTGACCTCTAAAGAGGCTTAAGAAAAGACTTCTGCACTGGCTCAGAGGCACTCACCAGCAACGATGAAGAACCAGCCACCATGGAACATGACAAACAAGGGCCATGAGGAAGACACTGCGTTAGAAACAATATCTTCTAACAGAACTAGCAAACGAATATAAACCTATCCCATGTGATTCTGTTCTATCTGCTTTTTTGAGTAGATCTGCTTTTAAAAGTTTGCCAAACACCTACAGTAGGTTTAAAAAAAATAAAAATGGTGCTTTCTTAACCATGCCAACAAAAATATGTGTGTGTATAACTGGATGACAAGATGAAATAAGAATCCCCCCCCCCATACTGGAAATGTATATCACAAATTAAACTATTTTTTAAAAAATCTGATAAACTATTCAGGTCTTCTTCCTTGCTCCTTTGTCCAAAAGCAAAAGCAAACCCAAACTTAACCCAGATGTTGACAAACGTTTCAGCAAGCCACAGCTTGGGATGGGGGGGGGCGAGAGAGTGACTGTCTCAGAGTCACCCAGTGAGCTCCATGATTGAGTGGAGACTTGAACCTGGGTTTCCCCAACGTCCAGCATCTTAACTGCTACAAAACAAAATATGTACTTTCCCCTAGTACTTTTTAACTTTCTCATGTAACAGCTTTGTAAATCAAATCAAGTAATTGTTAACGGAAATGCACGCTGTAGAATGTTTTCCTGATGAACTTTCACTGGGAGGAAGTTTGCTCCAAATGTTTAGCTGAAATCTGCTTACTGCTGATTAGAAAACTGCTCCACCTTTTGCATGTCAGCCCTTCAGGAATTTGAAGATAAGTATTGCATTTCCTTTTAGCCTAAGCATATATTTATTGACTGTATGAACACAGCTCTGCACTGGGTGCAAAGCTCCATTTGTCTTTTGGGTCCTTCCCTCCTTTCTCCATTTCCATGAAATATTGTAAAAAGGGAGAAGAAAATAAGTTGCCATCCACACTGTTATCAAGACCTCAGGATATCTTGCGTCTTTGGGCAGTTGCTCACAGAGCAGCTGGCTGACAATGCAGATGGAGGATGCCTAAATTCACAGAATCTGCTGGTTTTCCAGTGAAAGCTTGGTCAAGCTGTCCATCGTCTTTCTTCAATAGCTGTCAGGCAACTGTTCTGTCTGGTGCTTTTAGCACCTGCCCACCCAGTATCTGACCACAAATGTTTCTTCTTCTTTTGAATGACGTTTGGGCAGAGAAAGCGGGCATGTTAAAGAGGGCATGTTCTCAGAGCATCTGTCCTCCCTTGAGCTGGTAACTCTTGAAGCAGCTTGCCCTTCCATGCTTTGAATGGAAATGCATCTGGTTACATTTTTGCAGGAAACCATCTTATCCCAGTCTTTCTTTTACCCTTGTGCATAAATCCCGATGCCAGTTCAATGTGTCAGTTCTCTTCCCTTCCAGCTCACATTCTTCACTTTCTTCACTATCCCAATTCCTTCAAAATCCATTTGGTAGGGTAGTTGATGGCTGTTCATGGAGAAAGCCGCACCAGCTTTGTGTACAGATCCTCTTTGTATTTGATCACTTGATGTGTGATTATGCCTCAGCAGCATAATAAAGTTCCTTCTGTAACGGGGATGGGCAGTCTTGCAATGGGCAAGATTGTCAGTTTATCCAAGAGCTGCATTCACATTATGATGGAGTCTACATGTAACAGAGGAAGGATGGGGCAAAGATATCATCATGATGATCATCAAATGCAGCCCCTTGGTTTCAAAGACAAAGGGTGCTTCACAGCTTCTACATGATCCAGATAAAGATGTGTTTGGTTTAAGGAGTTAAGGATGCCCCCAGATAGCCCCAGTAGTACTGACTTTCAAATGTTACACTTTATAAAACAGCAATAATGTTTTATAAAATGACATTGCTGATTTTTGGGTGCACAATGAGGAGAGGCTTCCTGGGGCCACACAAGAGTGGTACAGGGGCCCTGTGCAGGCTGCATGTGACTCAAATGCAGCTAGAGTTCTAACATTGTTTACTTTGGTCACCTGGTGGCTTTGAATTAGTTGTGTCTGTGGATTCAGGCACTTATTCTTTCTCTTCGGTTCTTGGTGTAAAGAATGAACTTTCCATCTAGTGTCTTGACTGGCGTGACATTTTAAGATTTCCATGACTCTTTGGAAAGAATGATCACAGCAAGTCCTCTTCCAGGACAATCCCACCCATGTTCATGCTGAAGAAAGAATCATGGTAGTCAATGAAACATGCTGATTGTTAAACAGAGGTGCATGAATGGACCCAATTATATTCAGATGAATGCGGAAAATTGTTCCAATTCAAACATTTGAACTGATTCAGAAAGTCCAATTTGATTCAGACTTCCAAATCAATTCAGACCCAAATCTCTGACTTGGATGGGATTTGATTTGGTCCAATTTGCACTATTAAAACACAGGTGTGCTTGCATGGAAAGCATTCAAATAAGTTACTGTTGAGTTGGATTTGGTGCTCCAAATCAGTACGCGGAACATTTGCACAGTCGTACAGCAAAGGGACACAATAGTATGTTTGTAAATCCTTAGCAAGACATTGAACTGTGCTGCAAATTATTGAAAATTGCTGCAAACTCCAGGGTTCCAGGCTTGAGAGTAAAAACATGAGAAAAACAAGCATGCACTCTCACTGGGAGCAAAAAAAGAAATTGGAACAGAAGCATATTTGGCTCAGGATGGTCAGGAGTTCAAGATCCCATGAGTGAATGCTGGTCTTTGCAACATATGACAAGAAAACCAGCAACAGCGACAACATTAATATGGGTTTTATATAAAACCAGCCTCTTTGGCCTTAAGGAGTTGTATCAGAATACCTTGAGTGGGTGGATTGACCAGGCTTTTGGGCTTCAATGTCACTGAAATCTGAAAAGCTGCACTTGCCACATAGTCCGAAACTGGTTTGATAGACCCATCTGGAGCCAGCAACAGTATGCTTCACCCACCCACAGATCCCCAGCTATTATTAAAACTGCCTCCCCCACTTTTCCTGCCTGCAAGGCAGTTGCCTGGAGCTCTCCTTGCGGTTACTTTTCTCTAATCAGAACATCGCTGCACATGTTTTGGCTCGTTCACTCAGAAGAAAATCTTGATGGTTCATATAACTAGCAAGACTAAAAATGTCAGGGAATTGTTTGAATGTAGCCAAGACGGCTAGCTGCTTTCTTTACAGCTCCTATAGTAGCTGTCCATTGCAAGAGATTCCTAAATTTACTCTCCCCAGGCAACTTCAGTCTGCCTTGGAACACATTTCTTCTGAAGAGCCTTGCCAAGGAATCCACTCCAGGAGTTGGCAAGGCACCTCATCCCACCTTCTGAAGCAAGTTCTCTCTCAAACAGAGAAGTCCAATATGTCCCCTTGCTTTCACACCTAAAGAGGGGGATGAGCCATATGCTGCAGAAATTATGTCACTCTCTGCCTTTTTTGTTGTTGGAGGACCTGCCCAGCATTTTCCACGTGAGATCTTTGGCTCCTTCTCCTGGTCTTCTCAGAATTCCTTCCAGCCCACTCACTTAGTGGAGGCTTATAACACACCTACTTGTGTTCTTATTTTGACCAAAATGAAAAAAAAGCAATTACGCAGCTGAATTTCAGTGTCTCCACGGGCTTCAGGAAAAGGGTAGGGCTACGAGCAGCCCAGGATCTGTGGGTAGTGCATCCTTATCTTAGAACGATAAAACATCCACAAGGGAAAACCGGTTACGTGTCCTGCTTTAAAAGGCAGAAAGAATTACTCAGGAGCCCACCCATCTTTACATCTTTGAATCAGGATGTGCCAAAGAAAGTAGAGTGCAAAAAGGCACAATTTTGTTGTAGGAAAATGGGGCATATTCTAAAATAAAAATAACAGCCTAGGTGGTTGCCGAATCCTGATGAATTCGTTTAAAACAGGTAACGAAGTTGAAGCAAGTAGCATTCTTCCGTGATGGGCCCCTGAACGCCCGACAGTGAAGCTGGTGCTGTCAGAGGTCTTTACCGCTGTTCGTCTCGGTGACCTCTGGACTCGGTGGGACCAGCAAGGCATTGCTGCCCTCACTTCCTATTTTCCTTGTACTCTTACTTGTTTCCCCTTCAGCTGAAATGTATCTGGTAATAAGCTCTTTGGGTCAAGCATTTATCTTTTCAGCCTAAGTCCTGCTGCCAAGTGAACTTTTGTACTGATATGATAATGTTACAGATGGACTGTTGTTGCTTCTGCTGCTGCTGTTGAGGATCATTGGAAGTTCCTACAGTACAGATCAGCATCTAGCTGATTCTGAAAAGCAACACAGGGTCAGACCTGATTAATGGGGATGGGAGACCACCAGGAAATCTTAAGACTGCAGCCTAGACTAGGAACTAAAACTGAAGAAGGCAAGGGTCAACCACTTCTGTATTGCTTTCAAGAAAACTATAGAAATGTGCCCACGTAGTCACACGGAACTGAGTTTGATTTGATGTAGACTACACATTTTAGTTGGAAAGCACCATTAATTCATGTTGAACTTGATAGCATACCATAAGTGTAAAAGACAGGGTTCTGCCCCAAGGGAATCACAGTTCTGATAACCAGCGTCAGTGTGACAGAAGTGTCTGGAGGGGGAGGTAGGGGGAGATTGGCTCAGAGCCTTTTCCCTTGAAGCCTGTAGCCAGCCACTGGAACTACAACACATTTCTGCAAACCAGTAACTTGATTTCAGAACAATAAAGCAAACTTTTGCATCTTGAACTGTTCACAGCCCATGTCTGAAAGGCTGTCAAAACGTAAGCCAGGTTTATGTTGCACAGTCAAGAGAACCCCATTTGGCTATGACAAGCACAGACCCATCAAAGCGGTCCTGTACTTTGCCCCTCGAGGCAACAAGGCTTGGCAGGATTCTGCTTTGAAGCCTCCATCACTCCCACAAATGGAAAGGGATGCAGGAATGGCTGGACCATTCTGCTGATTCTACAGGGGCGAGGCTTTTCCTTATGAACTAGTAGGAGGTGGGAATTAAAATGCACAGCTTGTGCCCCCGAAAACATTTGGTCTCCTGCTGCCGCCAAGCTTTTTAGCCACCTCTGCATCTTCCTGTTCCTTAGATACCAAGTTGCCAACGCTAAACCAATCAAGAGCCCCCTTTCTCCTCCCCTCCGCTTGCCAGCTATTCTTTCTCTGGTTTTGCCTCCTCTCTTACTCTCTCTCTAGCTCAGCTTTGCTTTATCGGCCATGAAGCTCCAGTGGCTTTGGCATTTCCTTCCCTGCTTCTCCCTGCTTCCGATGCTTCTGCCTGCGGGTAAGTGACCAGAAGTCCACCCTCCTCCTCACCCTCACCCCCACCCGTGAATTTCTCCT